GGGCATGTCCTTTGTCCCCACAGCTCCTGGAGATCCAGGCTGATTACCATCGCAGGTCACTGACCTCGCTCGACACGGCCCTAGCTGAGCTGAGAGACAACCACAGCCAAACAGGTGGGGACATGAGTGAGCCGGCCTCACGCCTCTGAGCCTCGTGAACTTAGGGCTCTGTAAACGCTTGCCCCTTAGCCAGACGCGGTGGCTCTCTGTGTTCAAAGCCAGCCTAGTTTTCATAGAGAGTCCCTGGACAGCCAGGGCATCCTGCCTGGAGAAACAAACCCAAAACGTTTGTTCCTTATCCAGAAAGGCAGGAGGGAGCCATGGGTGAGCTGGGAGCTGAGAGAGGGCTGGATTAGGGCTTTGTGGATGGGTTTTCTCTGCTGTGGAGAGGGAACAGGACAGGAGCCAGGAGACCTTCTGGAAGGTTGGCTTCTGGACGGGGCAGGCCGGCGGAGATGGGCAGATGCAGGAGGTAGGCTAGATGGTTGTGTGTGCCACTGAGGCAGGGTGGAAGGTCGATTCCTGGGGGTGGGGTGCCCTGTCTGCCCTGGCCCTACTGCCAGGGGCAGGAAGAAGCAGGCCACTGATGGGTCTCATTTCCACAGATCTCTCCCCCTTGATGACGGCTGCCCCCATCTCCAGGGTATATGGGGTGTCCCTGAGAACCCACCTGCAAGAGCTGGGTCGTGACATCGCCCTGCCCATCGAGGCCTGTGTCCTAATGCTGCTGTCAGAGGGCATGCAGGAGGAGGTGAGAGCCCAGGCATGGGGGGGGGCGGGGCATGCTGCTCCTCTGCTGGTATCCACACACAGTTCCCCTCTCAGGGGGAGGCATAACCTCCCATTGCTGAGCTGACCCTGACTCACTGAATGGCACGACAGGGGCCTGGTACTGTGCCACGGGTAACTGAACAGTCCCCGCTCCATTTACTCCAGTGGCCCTGGGTGTGTGTGTGGGGGGGGCGTTCTCCATGGCTCTGTCTGGCCAGGGGGAGACAGAGGCAATGAGTCACATGAGGAACCAGGGGTCCTCAGTCCAGTCCTTGTCACATGCTGGCCCTTTCCTGAAGATGGACCCCTGGGTGAAAAATTACCCAATGGGCAGATTGCAGGCTCCCCACTAGTCATAATGAGACCCCCTTTCCCTTCCACCCCTAAGGAGACTTCTGTTCCCTCCCATTCTCCCAGCCCCCTCACACACACCCTGCCATTTCCCAGGCCTGCCCTATGCTCAGAATTCCAGACCTTGATAGTTGAGAGGGTCCATAAACACCGTGATGCCTCCTCTGACCACCACCAGCCCAGTGGGGACACGGAGGGCCAGCAGCCTGCTCCCGCCCCGCCCTCTGTGACACACAGAGTGTCTCTTCTTGCACCCCAGGGCCTCTTCCGTCTGGCCGCCGGGGCCTCCGTGCTGAAGCGTCTCAAGCAGACAATGGCCTCAGATCCCCACAGCCTAGAGGAGTTCTGCTCAGACCCCCATGCTGTGGCAGGTACCTGATCCGCTGGGAGCTGGAGGCAGAATGGGAATGGGCAGAACTGCCTGGGGGAACACTCTCAGAGTTTGGCTTTAGGCCTGATATGCTACCAAGGAGACACCTTGGGATGCAGGTCTGTGACGAACCCTCTGAAGTGTCTGTGCATTTTTTTTTGGGGGGTGGGTAGGTGGGAACATGCTTGCTAAGTATTATGTTAAAAGGGCCTGTGACCCAAAGAAACTGTCAAGATTTAGACATGTTAGTAGACTACAAGCTGGAGGTTCCTTCCAAGTGGAGAGAGCTGGGTCCTTGGGCATATAGAAGTGGGAGCTGGAGCCGGGCAGGGGTGGCGCACGCCTTTAATCTCAGCCCTCGGGAGGCAGAGGCAGGCGGATCTCTGTGAGTTCGAGGCCAGCCTGGTCTACAGAGCGAGATCCAGGACAGGCACCAAAATTACACAGAGAAACCCTGTCTCGAAAAACAAACAAACAAACAAAAAGAAGTGGGAGTTTTGGGGGGCTGCTTTACACCTTCTCCTGGCCTTGTTTCAGGTGCCCTCAAGTCCTATCTCCGGGAACTGCCAGAGCCCCTGATGACCTCTGACCTCTATGACGACTGGATGAGGGCAGCCAGGTGAGGAGGTGGGGGGCGAGGGGAGTGGGGAGGTGAAAGCGTTAACAAAGTGGCCCCGGGGCTGGCTCATCGGTGAGTCTCCCTTTTCAGCCTGAAGGAGTCTGGGGCTCGCCTGGAGGCCCTCGGTGATGTTTGCAGCCGCCTGCCGCAAGAGAATTTCAACAACCTCAGGTGAACCCTGGCCCACCCCTACCCATCCAGTCCCACAAAGCTTTGCTTTTGACTCCAGCCCTGGCTTGTGCCTGAGCACAGAACCTCACCCGAGATGTCCTGGTCCTGTCTTTTATATTAGACTGTATCCCGGGACACACAAACACAGCCAGCTCATGCCTATAATGCCAGCACGAGGGAGGCTGAGACGGGAGGCCGGGTGTGAGGCCAGCCTGGGCTACAGAGTGAGACCCACCTTAAGCAAAGATAATCAGGCTGGAGATGTAGCTGTTGGTAGAGTGCTTACCTCGCACACCTAGTGTGCACGAAGCCGTGGGTTGGCTCCTCAGCTCGCTGTGAACTGGAGGTGTTGATGCGTGCCTGCAGTTACTTACAGGAGGCGTGAAGATCAGAACCTCAAGGGTCATCCTTGGCTGTAGAGAGTTCGAGGCCAAGCTGGTCTATGAGACCTTGTGTCAAAAGGCAAACAAACGAACAACTCTCTTGAACTGGTGAGGTCACGTTGCCTGGCTGCAGACCCCACCCCCGCCACTCCCTGACCCTGGGCACTCAGCCCCGTGTCAGCACTGGAGACGGTCCCCACTGCCTGTGGCAGCCAGGAGGTTCTCAGCTTAGTCCTCCTCACATACAGTTGGCACTCAGAAAATAGATCAGGGAACTCAGCTAGGAAAAACTTAACCATGCCGCGCAGTATCTGTTCCCCTCTGGAAACCCTAGGGTAGGACGTTCTCAGGCCTGTAAGGGCATCCTGGGTGCACATCTATGACCCTCTCCTACCCACCCAGGTACCTGATGAAGTTCCTGGCACTACTGGCAGAGGAGCAAGAGGTGAACAAGATGACACCCAGCAACATCGCCATTGTCCTGGGGCCCAACCTGCTGTGGCCTGCTGAGAAAGAAGGGTGAGAGCCGGGACTGAGCACAGGAGCCTGTCCCTAGCTAGTCGCCGGCCTCTGATTTCCCCAGGCCCCACTTCCCTATCTCTGCAGTGGGTGGAGCAGTTCTTCATCCTGAAGCTGCTGTGAAGAGCAGCCTGAGGGATTAGGGTAGTGATGGGGTGGGTCCCTCTGTGGTGATCTGGTGTGGGTGCTGGAAAGCACGAGGTATGAGTTGAGCCTGACTCCCAACCTTCCAGACGTGAGCCCTGGAGAGATTATGTACATTCTAAGGGGAGTTGCTCTGGGAATTAGATGGGAAATGCTTTACAAACTGTAAGGTGCAGTGATACGTGAGAATCGTCATTACTTTCCAGGCTACAGACAGATGGCAAGGTGTCTTCCCATGTGCTGAATTATAGTTGCTTAGTGGGGGCAATCAATCCAAGAACTGTGGAGAAGGAGCCCAGAATTGATTAGTGATGTCTGTCATAGGTGAAGGTGTGGGAGATGGGGTATGTGAGCTATACATGTGCTATCAACCATGTCCAGCAGAGTCGCACCATGTTGCGGGTCACTAAAATTCTTGCTTCTCTTTTGTGCCAGGGATCAGGCCCAACTGGATGCAGCCTCTGTGTCCTCAATTCAGGTGGTGGGTGTGGTCGAGGCGCTGATACAGAATTCAGACACCCTCTTCCCTGGAGGTGACGTCCTTCCTTCATGTCATCTCTAGTCCTCTACCACCCTGGACTCCAGCCCAGTCTCAGTCCCTGGTTGCCCCACAAACTCTCCTTGTGGCTTAGAAGAAGCTGCTTTTTCATGCTGGGCCTCAGTTTTTCATCTGTGAAATGGGAATAGTCCTGCCTGACCCGTGGGAGTGGAAAAGCCAAGGGCCATCCCATCATTTCAGGGAAAGGGAGTCGCCCTGGCTCAGGCTGGCAAAAGTTACGACCTTGATCCGGGCGGGCAGCAGTAGCGCAGCCTTTAATCCCAGTACTCAGGAGGCAGAGGCAGGTGGATCTCTGAGTTCCAGGCCAGCCTAGGGGGGGTGACCTTGACACCTGTCCATTCTACCTCTAGACATCAACTTCAGTGTATCAGGCATCTTCTCAGCCCTGGCCCCCCAGGAGAAGGTCAGTAGCCAACGAACCGCAGAGGAATCGCCACCTGCTGCTGCGCCTGCGCCAGCTGCCACCCCAGCTCCCGTCCCGACACCTTCGAAAGAAAGGTAAGGGCGAAGCAACATGAATAGCCTCTTCCTGGCCACACAGACATGCGCCTGGGGCGCTGTCTCTGAGGACTTAGGAATGTCAAGGCAGTATTTGTCCTGCAGATCTGGTCCCACTGGTTAGAGTAGGTGGGAGGAGCCCGCTCGTAGCCTTAAACATGTTCCCTTCATCATCGCATGGCTATTTCTGTAGCACCTACTACGTGCCAGGTGTTGTTCACGCCCTGAGACTTCAGGGAATTGGGAGGGGTGGTTGGGATTTATAACTGCATCCAATTCTGTAAGTCTAGAAGGGTTTTGTGGCACAGACAGGTGTCCTCAGTGGCCCACACCACGGCCGTGGGCTCCCTCAGAGGAGGCAAACATATGCCACCCCCAGCCCTTGCCTTGGGTGGGGCAGGGAGAAGGGACATGTCCGTCTTCATCCCTGTGATATCAGGCTGGATGCATGCTCTGCCGAGGGGTGGGGCAGTATGTGGGCGGGTGGAGAGCTGCAGCAGTTGGGTAGGCCAGGGAGGCCTCCCTGGAATCCAGGCTCTGGAACTGGCTCTGTGGACCAGGCTAGCCTTGAACTCAGAGATCTGTCTGCCTCTGCCTGCCTCCCAAGTGCTGGGATTAAAGGCGTGCGCCACCACCGCCCGGCTTGATGTGGGCTTTTCACCGCCACTCACATCCTCTCTCTGCCCTCTGTTGACAGAACGTCCCCTAAAGATCACATAGAGGTCTAGGGGGTGCACCTTAACTGATAGAGTACTTGCCCGGTTCAAGCCTTCAGCACTGCGTAGAATGGGCGTGGTGGTGCTTACCTGTAATCTCAGCCCTGGAGGGGTGCAGGCAGAAGTTCAGGATCATCTCCCCCTACACTGAAAGTTCAAGGCCAGCCTGGGCTGCACGAGACAGTCTCAGAAAGGAAAAAGAAAGCACCTGGAAAGCCAAGGCAGAGAGGTCACCTTGCATTCCACCTCCCACTCTGTCCCGGTGGGTTGTCCCCTAGATTACATCTCAGTCATGGCTTTTGTCCTAGGCTGCTCCCTGTTGCTATGATAAACATTGTGACCA